CAGGCATTGGACTGTATAGAGTAAGGGTAGCATGAGCTGGCTTTGTAGGTGTTGCAAATCCTGTCTGTATTTAACAAATTGCATTCTTTTGATTAACCTAAAAATAGAAGAAGGCTTTTTGTCTTTATTGCTTTTTCTGTCTATGGAATTTGCAGGAAAAATAGACCTGGAAAGAGCAAAATATTCTTAACAAATGCATTACCTGTGATAGGATTTTTGTAGGAGGGACTGCAAAGCTAGCCAAAACTGGGGGTGGAGGAAAATGTAAATGCTAAGAGTTTTTAACATGTTTCTTAAGCATAGAAATAATTCACTAGGGGGTGAAATGGTACTGTTGATTCTTGAATTATCTTTTTGTGAATGATAAATCAATGCTCAGATGTTTGATAGCTGTCTAACATTTCAGACCAGTCTCCCGCCAGCTTCAACCCAGTCACCAGAAAGCACCATGGATACCTCTCTGAAAAAAGAGAAGCCAGCCATTTTGGATCTGTACATACCACCTCCACCAGCTGTTCCGTATTCTCCTCGGTATGCAAATAAATATGCACTACTGAACAAAAAACTCCTTTATAACTCTTGTTTCTGAGCTGGCTTGTTGTCAGACCTCTGTGCAAATTAACTTGAGGAAATTGCAGATCTCTCAGATTTTCTTCTAGTTGCTTAAATGCACAGGACTGCTTAAGCTTATGCTTAAATGCATAAACTACCAGGATTGTAATAGATTTTATTATTGGAAGATTATTGTGTGCCACCTATCAGAGTTGTTCCCGAAACATGAACTGATGTCATCCCTGATTTTATTGTGGGGTTATGGATTTTTTTTTGTTTAAATCCGACAGCATGTAGCAACAAGTCGTTTTTGTCTCTAACTTTTTGCACTGTTTTTTTTTGTGGGTTTTGTTTTTTGGTTTTTTTTTAGCAAGTTAAGTAACTGTTGTGGGAGTTAGGATAGACAAGAACTTGTTTGAAATTGTTAAACTTGCAAGTTGTATAAAACAGGAATGTTTCCACTGAAGAGAAAGGAGAATCAATTCGTTCAACTTTATTTTTTCCTTGTGGAGTAAGCTATAAAAATGCAGACCTGTGTACACAAGAGAGGGGGGGGCAGGGATATGGTATGGCTAACTTTTGTTTGTTCTCAAGCCCATGTCGACTCATGCCAGAGTCTTGCAGGCTGACCTGGGATGGTGATGGACAAAAGGGTTTTCATGGAAGGCATGCTTCCTGGCCTGGCCTGACACTTAATGTTACATGTAGATAGCCCAGCACAGAAACTCTGACCTTTTGCTATAGGACTTGCATAGGAGGAGAGCTTGCCTCCTGTCATGTAATGCCTGATACAGAGACAGAGGCTGTATTACTGCAGTCTTCAGGGCAGGACTGGGGCAGGGGGAGAGGGTTTCTCCAATGTGGCGTCTCTTTACTGACCCACCTTGACTTGCTGTCTCCCTGTTTTTCATGTTTATGCATTCTCAGTTCTTAAAACAAATAGTAAAATTAATAAAATTTCTTGGCATAAAAACAAATATGTAGATTTAACAGCTGAGTTTAGAATGCCTTGGTCTTTTCTTTAAATCATTACACTTCAAGCACATTGGTGAATTATGTGCGTGTCCTCAGTTTGTTTCTCTCTCTCCTAAAGAGTCATAAAATTATATCTAGCTTCAGATGCCTTTAGACCTGAATCCCTGTTGACAAGGAAGAAAGTAGCAGTGTAAACTGTAAAACTTGTCCTGGATGATGTGTGGAAAAGGGAAGGCTTTTTGACTTCAAAAGAAAGCAAATATGGGAAGCTGTTGCAGTCAGGAAGAGGAGAAAGGGCAGTTCTCTCGCCTTCTGTTTGGCTATTTAATTTCACCCCTGCATGTTTTGGTCTTCTCTTGAAACTGTGATGCATTTGTGTGGTTGTTTCTTCCCCCCAAACCCCTGCTCATCATCCTATTCTCTTCCCCTCCTGGGATGGACCTTCTCTGCTCCACACTGAGGAGGCAGAGAGCAGTGGCTGATTTCCCTCCCCACAGCACAGTCTCCACATGGTGGTGTTGTAGGAGAGCTCTCTGTGTACATACAGTTGTGGTGTAACACTGCTGTGCAATTTTTGGTCCCTGAAACTCCATAAATAGCTCCCTTCCATTCACTGAACTCTAGCGTTGTTCTTGATGGAGAGCTGGAAGTAGTGGTGTGTGCTGGCCGGGGGGCTGTTGTAAATACTGGAGTATGTATGGGCTTAGACAGTCAGCTGCGTATTTTTATGCCTGACTTGGCTGATGGTTCCTTCAAGCAATAAGACTGTAGCATGTACAGGGAAGGAGGGGAAAAAAACCCTAGACAAACCTTAATTTGGAGGGTAGCTTTTCTTCAAAAAGTACTCACAAAGGACTGGTACTAAAAATGGCAGTTTCTGGCCTTTGGAATGAAGGATTGCTCTGGGAAGGGAGTTCCTGCAGAAATTGCTCAAAATCATATGTATATACACTGTGAACTTATTACTGAAACGCTCAAGGGGGTCTCGCTTTTGGATGGAGAGAGAAGGTGATGAATATCCAGTGGAGTTATTGGGCTCTTAAAATGATTGAGAAGCATAGTCCCTCAAATGGAGGCGATAGGTGTTGCCATTACACAGAGATGGATAAACCTATGCATGCACTCCTCTGTCACAACTGTGTGCTGAACAGACACGAATCGGGAGCTTTGATACCCTCAGGGCAGAAAGGTCTCCTTTCTCAAAAGCTTTCTCGGGGTGGTACCTCTAAACTTCGCCAGTTGTCAAAAGCATGACAGGTTTGAAAGATGCTTCTAGTCCCTACTCATGACTGTAGTGTGAAACTCTTTTAAGCTACTAACTGAAGAGAAATGTCCTTTCAGAGATGAAAAGGGGAGTTTTGTATATGGAGGAAGCAACAAACCTGGTCAGCCACTACCTGGGTCCAAGGGCGCCGAGTCTCCCAATTCTTTTCTGGATCAGGAGAGTCGAAGACGAAGGTTTACTATTGCTGATTCGGATCAGTTGCCTGGGTATCCAATGGAAGCAAATATCCTACCAGCCAAGATGAGGGAAAAAACACAGTCCTATGGTGAGTTCATTCCTCTTCCATTATTGCTGTCGTGATAAATGCTTTGATCCATTTGGAACAATTTATATTGGAAAACTGCTCGTCAGACTTGATGGATATTAAAGGCAGTCTGTGTGAATTGTGAATGTGAATGAAATTGCACATCTGAAATAATTTCATTCAAAAGCTGTTATTTCTATAATGAATGTCACTCAGCTGGGCTCTGCTGCCATGTTTGGCGATTTCCATGTGTGTTTTGGTTATGATTTTTGGTCATTATGTCCATTGCTGCTGTAAACGGGCAAGAACGTGGCTGTTCAATCTCAGCACATTGCTTTCTTATATTTCACTGGCAGAAGTATCTTGAAATACTTTTTCTGCAACTTTAATTCCTTATTGCTGTATCTCTCCCTTTGCTTAATTGTGAAAATTATCCATCTAAAAATTGGTTTCCTAAAATTACTATAATTCCTCATAACATTCTCTGTTGCCTTTAGGAAAACCTCGTCCTTTGTCAATGCCTGCGGATGGGAGCTGGATAGGAGCTGCAGAACCCTTCTCCAGGCCACGAGCATTAGGGAGAAAAGGCAAGGTTTTAGGTCTTGTCTCTCTTTCTCGTACCTTCCTCTCAAAAATTTCCTTGGGGTGAATTGGATGGAAGTGTCTAAATTAGGAGTGGAGTATTAGTGTTTGCGTATTGCTGAGCTGATGCAAGATGATGATTGTTGGTTTTAGCTGTTGGTTTCTGGATGGTAGCTGTGAAATTTGTGAGGCTATTCAGTGCTGGACTCAGACTTCTGTTGTTCCGTCTTAGAATTCTTGTGAGTGTTAAAAGTAGGCTAGAATGACTAGGGCAGGCCTATACTTGTTTCTTTATAGCACAAGTTTACCATTTTTCTCTTACACATACCACTTTCCCTTTCTCCTGCATTTAATATTGATCAAAGTCTCCTTTTTTTGATAAGTCTTTCTGTTTGTTTAGATCACTGGGGAGGCTGTTGTAGAAGCAAGCTTGTTCTCAAAAGTAAAATGCAGGGCCTTTTAGGAGTGTCTTTTTATTGCGACTGCTGTTGGAAAACAACGTATTCTGCAGATGTCACAGAATGGGAGAGAAAACAGAAGCTGATAATGTTGGATGTTAGGTTGGGTGGCTTTTTTTTCCTTCCCCCACTGCCCTTCTCTCCCTTCCCCCTTTTGCATCTGAAAGACTGAGTCCTGTTAGAGCAGGAAATAAGAAAGGATGACTATTAGTTTATTGAAATCAGTTATGAAAGTTAATGTGTAATTCTAGGGAAAATAGAAGCTGAATTCTATGATTTTAATGCAAAAATAGAATCTGTTAACAAGAAGCATCAGCCTGGAGGGATATTAGAAACAAGCTAAGTAACAAGTCTAACAGAATGATCACCAGGTGGCAGGGCTGTTTTTTGTGTGTATGGTGTTTGGTTGGTTTTGCTTTTGATGTTGTGTTGGCTTTTTTAAACACTTGAAACGTACCCAAGTGTTGCAGGCTTGTATGTAAGCTGGGTCGGGACAAAGGCCTGTCTAGTCCAGTAGGATGTTTCTAGCAGCAGCTGCCATGGGTAGGTTTCTAGGGAAGAGTAAAAACAGAGAAAGCATTACAAATCAATGGTCAAAAGCAGGGAAGTGCTTACATCTTTATCTGCAAAATTCATTTCTGTTGACCAGAGTAATATTTGTAGCTTTTAAGTTAGTCATGAGTTACATTCAGATAAACATGGATTCAACTCTGGTCTATCAGCATCTTCAATGACATGGTACGAGAAGGTCTGTTAGGTCTCACTCATGATGATGATTCACATGAAGGTAGTCTGTAGTAGCAGTTCTGGTGTGTGTGAATCTGGGATTTAACAGTCAAATGGTATCCTCTCTCTGCGTGAACTTATTTTGTTGTTCTTTGTTTAAAAAATATTAAATATGCAAAACACCATAAATCTATTGATAGCTGCTTATGTCAAGGTGTGTTATGAAAGGTAACTAAAATCTAGGTAATTTGAAATGTAACCAGAGTCTTTTTATAAAAATAGAAAACATTAATGGAGGGTTTTGAAGTCAGCAATAACTGGTTTTCCTCCTGTTCACACAGGTGAAGATGTCCTCTGCAGGTACTTCAGTAATGAAAGGATACCCCCAATCATCGAAGAAAGCCCCTCCACACAACACCCCCTCTCAAGGCCAGTGTCTGACAAGCAGTTAGTGAGGGGAACAGATTATATTCGAGGCAGCAGGTGTTTTATGAATGCAGACCTCCACAACAGTGCAACAATTCCTTTTCAAGAGGAAGGTGCTAAAAAATCTTCAGTTACATCGTCTACAAAATCTTCCTCCACAGAGCCTTCACTATTGGTCAGTTGGATCACGAGACTGAAATTGTTGACTCATTGACTGTTGTTCACAGGACTGTTGCCAAGTGCCTTTGCTTGTTGGTCAGACTTCTCTACTTTTCAGCTAAACTGATGCATAGTGACTAATGCGGTGTTCTTTTCCTGGAGAATCTTACATTTTTGCTTTTTTGTTTGTGATTTTTTTGATGGATCAGAGGGTGTCGTAGCGCAAGGAGGGAAGAAAGGTAAAGATCAAGTTCCTCTTTGTGGCCAAAAGCCAAGGGCATTTATTCCCCTGGAAATGAGTAAAATTTCAGTGACATAGAGGCCACAAGTGACCTGAAATCTGCATAATGACTCAGAGGAAATCGTTGCATTACTGTAAAGTCCAGTGGCACTTCATTTGTCTGAATGCTCAGAGGCTGGTGCGACTGGCTGGGTGTCAGAGTCTGTAGAGCTCAGCGAGAGTTGTGCTTCTCTCCTGACCGGGAAAGATAAGCAGGGAAATGGGAGTTTCATGCGAATTATTGATGCTGTTGCAAGTGCTGCATGAGATCAACCTTGTGAGGAAGAAGTACTAGTGTTGCCATTCTTTCTCTGATATCCAGAGATCTTAGGAAGTCTTATGAAGAGAGTTCTCTTATTCAGAGATCTTAGAAAGTTGGACTAATTTAATTATAAATCAATCCAACCTGATATATAATCCATTTTATTGAAATCACAGTACAAATAAAGAGTGCTGAACAGCTGCAGTGCTCGTCTGTAAAGATATATGGATTGCTACAACATGCCAAGGAAATGCATCTGTAGAGGTGGTTAAAGAATATATATTTTTTTCCTTAATTGTTTAAGAATGATTTGCTGTTAACCAAAGTAAGCTTTTAAAAACAGTCCTGTTGGACTTATGAGAACTTTTACAGTGGTTCAGTTTTTGAATGATGTGTTGTTTTTATGAAAGATATGTGCTATTATACATTACAATTGTAAGACATCTTGCTATTTTCTATATAGCTCAAATTTTTTCCCCTCCAGAATTTTAAAGTAGCGGTGGGTATTTTGGGAGGAAAATAAAACTGGTTTAACAAAAGAAGAGGATATTAAAGAGGTATTGTTTAAAACTGAATGTACATAAGATTGTTAGTATGCAAACAGTTTTGTTTAAAAGTAATTTAAATGTTAAATATAGTTGTATATATTTTTTACACTTAAACAGATACAGTTTGTACCTTCCTGTCTGCGGTACTGGGCACAGATTAGTGAAATGAAAAGAAAAAGAACATCTATTATATTCCTTGCTAATTAATTATAAGACTAGCTATTTTCATAGATGATGCATTGCCAACTCCTTTACTCCTTTGGTCTTGCTGAAGAAAAGAAGAATAATTTGTATTTACTAATTGGTGGGGAAAGAGGGAGGTTAAATGCTAGCTTGCACTTTGGACTGAGGCAGGAATTGTGTGATAACACAAGTGTTAAAAACATACCATAATTCTGACTGTGAAGATGTGACCATTCTGCTGCAACACGTTAATGAAGGTGTGCTATAGCCCTGCAGAGACACAGGGTGTTAAATTTCATTCTCAATTAATTATGTTTGATTCTGATTCACTGGTGATTTAGGTGGGGGCTGGTTTGTACCTTTTTGATCAAAGTAGATTATAATATGGCTGTCTTGTGCCACTCTTCTCCACACCTCTCCCCCTCCTCCCAAGATGGAAGTCTGTACTAGAGACGTGACCAAACACAGCTGCAGTGCAGTTGAATCCTAGACCAGTTTGGTCCCGCCTCTGAGGAGAGGGATGAAACTGTGATGTTATAGTCCAGCCCCAAATTGACAACAGAACTTTTGCGTGTCTCTAATATCCTGTTTTCGATGGTTTAAAAATGAATGGGGAAGGGTACACTTTGGTGTATGCATTCATGCATAGTGGTGTGGGAGGATCTATGGATGCACTCGGTTTCTTTAAATTGTACCTGGGCATGTTTTAAGACACTGAAGTTTCCTGCCTTTGTTCGGTTAGGTTCTTTTGACATTCTAAGAGTAGTGAAATAAGCTTGCCCTAATTTAACAAGTAGATTTAAATCACTGCAGCTATGAGGAAAGAGGAATTTTGTAAGCATTTAGGCAGAGCGACACTTTCAAAATCTGTGGTGTTGCCTAAATACAAGCTAATTCCACACACCCTCCAAAAAAAAAAAACCAACAACAACAACAGCCCAACACACCCAACCAACCAATGTGTTCTCCATGTTCATCCTATCCATGCTCCAGCATCCTAATCATGCTGAGTTAGGTACTGAATTTAAACTTTTGTCAATCAGTCATAAGGGTATCCAATAGCTGATTGTCCAGGGAGAGAGTTGCCTGGCTCTTATGAACAGAGAAAACAGAGGTACTCTTCTGGAAATTACCAGAAGTGGTATTGCAGTTTCAGAGAATCACAGAATGGTTGAGGTTGGAAGGAATCTCTGGAGGTCACCTGGTCCAACTTCCCTGCACAGTCAGGGCCACCTAGGGCTGGTTGCCCAGGACTATATCAGGATGGCTTTTGAATATCTCCAAGGATAGAGACTCCACAACCTCCCTGGGCAGCCCATGCCAGTGCTCAGTCACCCTCACAGTGAAAAAGTATTTTCTGATGCTTAGACAGAACCTCCTGTGTTTCAGTTTTTGTCCATTGTCTTCGGTCCTGTCACTGGGCGCCACTGAAAAGAGCCTGACTCCATTGTCTTTGGACTCTCCCATTAGGTGTTTATACACATCGATAAAATATCCTTGAGCTTTCTCTTCTCCAGGCTGAACAGTTCCATCTCTCAGCCTTTCCTCATCTGAGAGGATCCAGTCCCTTCATCATCTTGGCGTCACTTTATTGGACTCTCTCCAGTATGTCCATTTCTCTCTTGTACTGGGGAGCCCAGAACTGGACATGGTACCCCAGGTGTGGCCCCACCAGTGCTGAGTAGAGGGAAAGGTTCACCTCTTTCAACCTGCTGGTAATACTAATGCAGCTGAGTTTCCACCATAAATTAGCCAAGATCATTGAAAACAGTCATGCATGGTTTCACAATCAAAAAGGCAAAATAATATTGGGTTTTTTTTTGCCCCTCTTGAGCTTTATCCATCATTGTTGATGGACTTTTTGCCATTGGATTGTATGTATGAAGAATAAATATAGCAGAACACAATATGCCTATTTTTGTTGCAAAACCCACATCCTTACTACTGTGAACTTACTGTGTAC